GGTCCTCATGACCTTGATGCTGTCTCCACAAGGCACCACATGAAATTCAGCCCCTGCTTCAGTTTTTCAAAACTGTCCCCCCTAACAAACAAAAACCCACATAACCAATGCGTTTAGCAGCTTTTACTCAAGATTTCTAGAGATTTCACAAGTATTGCCCATAGCTTTCTTCACTCTCCCTTCCATCTCTGTACTTCACAGGTTCCCTTCTGTGTTCCCTCAGGAGATTCTAGTCTTCTGCTCTACAGGGCAGAGCAAAACCTGCCCTCAGTGACGTGTTGGCTTGGGGTGGATAGGGGCTAACTTTTAACCTCAAGCACTTATAGTATTTTCCCAAACACAACATTTCAGATTCCAAGCTGGGGTCTTTTAACACACCTTCCTTCAGTGACACAGTTTCTCAGAGAATGTTAATACTTAACCCCAGAGACCTAGGGACAAAATTCAAGCGGCTCTTTAAGTTCTTTAAAGTATTTTTATCTTAAAATCTATGTTGGTCATTCATTTTACTCTAAAATTTTGCTCTATAATGCGTTTCTCCAAAATAGGAGAGTAAAACTGATGCTCCAGAAAGATGCACTGTGTTTACACTGTGGCTTTACCTCTCCTGACCCTCACACACTGAGGAGAGGCTGCTAGGATCCATGGCCCCAATTCTGCGATGCAAGATCTTGGTGGGGCAGAGGGCTCTCTAATGGCTGTACTAAGGAACTGAAAACTAACAATATTATTTTAGAAAGCCTGAAGGAACTGTTAATTCATGTAAGATAAGGCTGTATAGGTAACAACTTCACTGTGGGCTGGAAACAGCAACATGGGTTGTCTCTCAGGGAGATTGATTATTTACCTAATATAGTTTCCCAGATAAAACCTTATGACGGATGGAAAAAGAATTTAAGAAGTTTTGGTTTTGAGAGAACTAGAAAACATTATTTCAAATTTTAAACTAAATCGAAACATTGATTTCAATATGAATCCAAGTAAAGACTTCCAATCCTTTAACCATATCTGGATCATTCTCAAATGCTAGTGAACAATTTATCATCATTTTAAACCCACATTCAATCATTCCATTCTTGGGCAATTTGCTTAGTTTCCTGTAGCAAAACCAAGATAAAAGTAGAGTTGGATTTTCCCCATTGTTTGGCAAGAATCTCAAGGTATTTGCGTTAGGCTTCTGTTTAACTTTAATGATGGAAACTGGAGATTGGCTCTCCTAAGATTTTTTATAATGTTATTAAGATGAAATCATTTTGTACTTTTATCTATTTCTGTTTTTTTTTAATGTCTGATAGAAGCAGTATGATTATTTGGGCTTTATCCTGTATTTACTTGGAAATACTGAGTCTTTGCCGAGTCACTCTCTTCCAGTAATGTGAGTTCAATATCTTAACAAGTGTTCATTGAGTGCCTTCTCTGTGTTAGGTACTTGCTATACAAAAGACAGATGGCCTCTGTTCTCCAGTAGAATGAAGCTTTTACCTCTTCAAAACCCTGCAATCCAGATAAAACACATTGTACCCCAGTCTCCAAATATGTTGCATCCTTGCTTATCCTGAACCTCTCTCCACAACTTCTTCTATGCCCAAAACATCTTCTCCCCACTTCTCGCTTTGCTTTTGGACTATCTCAAATGGCTTCTCCTCCACAGCCTTTTTTAAATCATGACTGGTGAGGTAGTGAAAAGATATTCAATATATTTACAAGCAACATCTCCAATAAGGGCCTAATATCCAAAATATACAAAGAACTCATACAACTCAATAACAACAAAAAAACAAACAATCCAATCAAAAAATGGGCAGAGGACCTGAACGCACACATCTCCCTAGAGGACGAACAAATGATCAACAAACATATGAAAAGATGTTCAACATTGCTAGATATTAAGGAAATGCAAATCAAAACCACAATGAGATACCACTGAGATACACCTCTTAGAAGAGCTGTAATCAACAAGACAAGTAATAACAGGTGTTGGAGGGCATATGGAGAAAAAGGAACCCTCCTATACTGCTAGTGGGACTGAAAATTGGTATAGCTACTATGGAAAACAGTATGGAGGTTCCTCAAAAAACTAAGAATTGATCTACCATATGATCCAGCAATCCCTCTACTGGGTATTTATCCCAAAGACTTGAAAACCCATATCCGAAAAGATAATTGCACACTGATGTTCATAGCAGCATTATTCACAGTGGCCAGGACATGGAAGCAACCAAAGTGCCCTACTATA